TCCGCGAGCATCCATCGTATCTAACAAATTACACAAAACCTGTAGAAATATATACTCTTTATATTTACTTTGAAATGGGCATTATCGATTTGTATACTGTCATTCAACAATAAAAATTAATACTTTGCTTTGTTTCACAGTCACATCTATGTTATCAAAATGGTAAGTTACATTTCGGAATCAAAAACTAATATTAACTTTTCTTTTGTTCTAGATTTTTCAAAAAGATGTCATTTAAATGGTAAGCTACATTCAAGAATCAAACGCAAATATTAACTTATATTTTGTTTTAGATTTTTCGGATGAATTTCATCGAAACGGTAAGTTGTATTTAAGAATTATTAATTAATATAATTTTTTTTCTTTGTTTTAGGGTCTTCAAGTGGATGTGATCCAAATGGTAAGTTACATTTAAGAATTACAAACTAATATTAACTTTTCCTTTGTTTTAGAACTCTGAAATGTATCTCATCCAAAAGATAAGTTACATCTCAGACTTAAAATTAATATTAACTATTTTTGTTTTAGATTCTTCAAATGTACACTGTAAAAAAAAGGAACTGTACGGAACCTCAAAAAAAGGGTTCGGTAGATGACAAAAAGCTTGCAAATGTGTTCAAAGTTTCAAAAAAAGAATAAAAACATACACAGAACCTTTAAAGGATCTTACCGTGTACCCAAGCGAAGATCCTTTTTTCTTTGAAACCTTTTTAAGATCTGTAGACCAAAAAATAGGATTTGTAGGAAAATACGAAATCTTTAGAGTTTCGTATTAAATATAATAGTTGTACAGAAAGCCCAGTACGAAACCACGAGGTTTAATACGAAACTCTAAAGGTTTCGTATTTTCCTACAAAACCTTTTTTTGGTCTACGAAACTTAAAAAGGTTTCGAAGAAAAAAGGATCTTCACTTGGGTACACGGTAAGATCCTTTAAAGGTTCTGTGTATTTTTTTATTCTTTTTTTGAAACTTTGAACACATTTGCAAGCTTTTTGTCATCTACCGAACCTTTTTTTTGAGGTTCCGTGCAGTTCCTTTTTTTTCACAGTGTAGCTGACCCAAATGACGAATTATACCTTAGAATAAAAAACTGATATTAACTTTTCTTTTCCTTTAGACTTTTGTAGTGGATCTCATCCAAATGGTAAGTTAGACTTTAGAATCAAAGGCTGATATTAACTCTTGTTTTGTTTTAGATTTTTCGAATGGATCTTATCGAAATGGTAAGTTATATTTAAGAATTAAAAACTAATATAAATTTTTCATTTGTTTTAGGTTCTTCAAGTGGATGTGATTTATATGGTAAGTTACATTTAAGAATTACAAAGTAATATTAACTTTTCTTTCGTTCTAGACTTTTTACATAGATCTCATGAAAGTGGTAAGTTATATTCAAGAACTAAAAGATAATATAAACTATTCTTTTGTTTTAGATTCTTCAAATGGTTAGATCCAAATGGTAAATTACGTTACAGCAATCGAGAAATTTGATATCTCTGCTGTTAGTGGTTTTATGGTATACGTCATGTTATCGAAATCTGTGTTTGTTCTTGACTTTTTTTTTGAAGTCGCGTATAGGATACCCATTTAGGTGAGCTCAGAAACTTTTTTAATGGTTTCCGATATCGGTATGCGAGAAAGTACTGTAACTGATGTTTATGAACCACCGAGAGTTCGAAAACTCTCTAAGGGTTTTCCTGGAAACAGGCTTCTTTGAGAGTATAGAGAGTAGGGATGCAACGGTGACGGTGGTCACCGGTGTGATCGGTCTACGGTTCACCGTTCACCGGTCTCACCGGTCCGCCGGTTCACCGTAGGACTGGTGCCACCGGTCCACCGGTGCACCGTACCAACCGGTCACCGTAGTAGCGGTGCACCGTTCACCGTTCCACCGGTATACGAGCACCGTAAGCACCGGTCACAATTTACTACAGATAAAGCTACTCAAGTTCAACTGAGTTTTATTAAAAATGAAGCTGACCATCTCATAATCGAGAAATGCACATATATTTGGTATCCCTCTACTTTCTGCGATTTATGATCATACTTCACAAATTTAATACAATGTTTCTATATACTGAT